AAAATTGAACTACAGTATGGTCTTTCAATTCCGTTTCTGAGAATATAGCCGAAAGAAATGAAAACACTAACTTTAAAAAGGTATCTTCACGGGCGCCTGGGTGGCTCAGTCGGTTGAGCATCTGACTTCGGCTCAGGTCATGATCTCACGGCTGGTGAGTTCGAGCCCCACGTCGGGCTCTGTGCTGACAGCTCAGATCCTGGAGCCTGCTTCGGATTCTGTGCCTCCCTCTCTCTTTGCCCCTAACCCACTCGCATTCTCTGTCTCTCTCAAAAATAAATAAACATTAAAAAAAAAAAGAATGAAATCTTGCCATTTGCAACTACGTGGATGGAACTGGCGGGTATCGTGCTAAGTGAAATGAGTCAGTCAGAGAAAAAAATCATATGATTCACTCCTATGAGGACTTTAAGAGACAAAACAGATGAACATAAGGGAAGGGAAACAAAAATAATATAAAAACAGGGAGGGGGACAACACAGAAGAGACTCATAAATACGGAGAACAAACAGAGGGTTACTGGAGGGGTTGTGGGAGGGGGGGTGGGCTAAATGGGTAAGGGGCACTAAGGAATCTACTCCTGAAATCATTGTTGCACTATATGCTAACTAATTTGGATGTAAATTAAAAAAAATAAAAAATTAAATTAAAAAAAAAAGATTTGTAACAGTGCTCACGTGGGCAGCTCGTATACTAAAACTGAAACCGTAAGGAGATTAGTATGGCCTCTGTGCAAGGATGACAGGCAAATTCCTGAAGTGTTCTATATTTAAAAACATTTTTTTTAATGTTTATTTATTTTAGAGAGAGAGAGTGAGAGACTAAGCACAAGCAGGGGAGGGGCAGAGAGAGGGAGGCATAGAATCCGAAGCAGGCTCCAGGATCTGAGCTGTCAGCACAGAGCCAGACGCAGGGCTCAAACCCGAGAACTGTGAGATCAGGACCTGAGCCAAAGTTAGACGCTTAACCAACTGAGCCACCCAGGTGCCCCCTGAAGCGTTCTGTGTGAAAACAAACAAACAAAAAAACAGGTTTATAACAACAAATGAGAAAGGAGTGCTATTGTAAGAGGTAAGCAAAATCCATCATTTATGAAATCCTTATTTAAATATGCATGTATAAATTAGAAAAAAAAATATTGTAGATCAGATCTATAAGGATTTCCATCTTTTAAATGGAAAAGTTGCAGTCATGAATATGGTATAATTCTATGTTGGTAAAAATAAACAAATAAACCCCCTACATGTATGTATATGTATGAGCGATGAGGAAGGATGCAAAAAAGCTGATTACTCTTGTTCATCTCAAGTGGAAAGATGACTGATTTTATCCATTTTGTACTATATTCAGAGTTATAACCATTTATTCCTTTAAGTCCTGGATCAGCATCATCAACATCATCTAGGAGCTTGTTAGAAATGCATATTCTCAAAAAAGAAAAAATGCATGTTCTCGGGCCCCATCACAGACCTACAGAATCAGAACCTATGTTTTAATAATACCTCAGTGTTTCATGTGCGCTTTCAAGGTTGAGAAATACTATTTCAATAGTATTTAGTGTGCTGTAAGGGATGAGAGTACTCAGCTGCCTTCTTTTTCCTTAATTTACATTTCTTTTGATTTTTGATGCTCAGCATAGTCACATTAACAGTCTTTGCTTCTCTCTTGCCATTATGAAAATCAAGGTAACCTAAAACAAGAAAGGGTGGTAGGAAGGTTGCCAAAAGCAAAGCAAAGCATGATGACTATTTCTCCTGAGAACAAGCTAGTTTGTAAAACTCATTATGATTTCCTTCCAACTCTGTTAAAATGAATGTTAACTTTGTATTGCTACCTTACAGGAGACACTGAAAACGTATTCAATGGCTTTTGAGAGGCTCATTATGTACAGTTAGCAGAACTAAGTAGTTAGGGACCTGCTAACGAGAGATTACAGCAGAGGACAGAGCAAATTGTCTATTTCAGGATCTTAAGACAATCCACCTCAAATAAAAGTGTCAAATATTTATGAGCACCTTGGTGCAAAGCACTGGTTAGACCTGTGGTACAAGATGTTTAAGGCACTGGCCTCAAAGAGCTTATGAGCTAGGGTGGTGGACTAGAATCATGAAGCTGTACCAACTACCAAAGATTGTCATGGAAGTGCCACCTGGCATGCAGAATTCCCTGCCAAGTGAACTGTACACATGGGATCTGAGTTCTCGAGGAAGATTACCAGTGAAAACACCCACTAGACACTTGAAAGGGTGAAGCTGGAAATAAAAGGATCAGGTAGGATAGAAATACCTTAGAGAGGGTTCTGCTTGGATGTGTCCATTAAGCCTGGGGACTGGCTTGGTAATCAAAGGGAAAGGATAGAGCAGAGGCCCAAGGATTGAAATTTCAGGAACTTGGAAAAGGAAGCAGTAGTAAAAGTTTGGAAACGTGGGTAATTTTATGTTATTAGGGAAGTATGGCAAGAATAATTTCCAGGGAGAAACTGGCATTATCAAATACTCTGGAGGTGAAAATTAAAAATTCATAAATGGCCATTCGATAACAATGGCTCTGGAGCATGCAGAGGGCAGACTCCAGGAGTTTTTTTTTAAAGTTTATTTATTTTTGAGACAGAGAGAGACAGAGCATGAACGGGGGAGGGGCAGAGAGAGAGGGAGACACAGAATCGGAAGCAGGCTCCAGGCTCTGAGCCATCAGCCCAGAGCCCGACGCAGGGCTCAAACTCACGGACCGCGAGATCGTGACCTGAGTTGAAGTCGGACGCTTAACCGACTGAGCCACCCAGGCGCCCCAAGACTCCAGGAGTTTAATGGGCAAAGCATTTAGGAAGTGATAGTGGGCCATTTTTTCTAATTAGCAAATGATGGGGCCAACCAAAGATTTTTTTCCAAAGTCAAGATCTGTGCAGGTTTGTAAAAAGAATTTGGAAAGCAGGGAGAGACTGCAGATGCTAGAAATACACTGTGTCCTAGAGAACAAGGAAGGGGGCTGGGAGATGCAGAATCCAACGGAGGCCAAAGAGGAGTCAGCCTTGGAAGGGATGTGTGCATCTTCTCTTGTGAGAAAGGAAAAGCCAATGAGATAAAGCCTCCAAACCAGTGGTTTTGAACCACTGCTGGGCATCACAATCACTTGGCGAGCTTTAAAAATCCTAATGCTCAGGCATACCCCAAACTACATAAATGGAAATCTGTGGCATGCTGATATTTTTAAGGCTCTCTAGATGATTATATTGTGCAGCCCTTTTGAAAACCACTGCCCTTCAACAGAGCTATTGAGAGGAAGAACAATGAGGGAATTCTAGCCTAATGGCCTCTATCTTCTATGTGGCTGAGAAGCAAACTGCAGGCCAGATGGGATAAGCTCTAAGAACCAACATTTTAGTCTTTGTGTTCACAGAAGGAAAATAAGAGTTGGAAGTAATAAAACATGATGGCTCCAGTAAAATGGAACAAAAAAATAAAAAATAAAAGCTTTGTGTGGAAACTTGTTTGAATTTTCTTATGTTAATGTGCTGAGACACAAAATTAATCTTTGTAAGAATGAGCAAGGACAGTGTTATAGAAAACACCTCTTGCAAATTAAAAATAGACAAGGCCTTAGTCACTCTTGATTTTTGGATAACAGTTGGAATTTATCACTAAGCTCTAGTCAAGAGGGGTTTTCCTTTAATGTATATAACATAGTAACACATAAATGAAGTGTTTACCAATAAAAATTGGAGTATGTTGTCACTCTCATAAGTGCAAAAGTCTTACATACATCATCCTTAACTCGGTTATGTTTACACAGTCCCTTGCTTTACTGCACAAAGTTGGGCAAAAGGACTCCTAATGGTCCCTGGGCCAACTCTCCTTTGCAGTTGTACCAAGGAATTGCCATATATTCCTTAAAAAAGATTATCTGCTCAAAACACTAACAGATGAGTTGTGAGAATCCCGATCTTTTGATGCAGTGAACTGCTTGCCAGGCAAGATACTCCTTTTCCTTGTGATAAAAGATTCAAAGAGGTTTAAAATTTTTTTTTATTTTGAAAATAAAATTGACTCATAAAGTGCAAGGAGAAATTAGATCTGTCCAGTGTTCTGTATCCATCTTCGACAAACTGCTGGAAACAAGAGAAAAACAATTAGAAATATATAATCGTTAACTCAAAATTGTCTTGTGGAGTTAAACTATGAACTATGAGATCTGATGTTACAGGTAAGAAAATTTGCATAGCTCTGATGAAAAAGCTACCACTAGATGCAAGGCTCCTAACGTCCAGGCCAGTGCTCTTTCCACTTTACCAGGCTGCTAAGAACCAAAGAATTCAGACTGGAGATTACAAAACATGAATGCAAAGATATACCAAGGATACTATCGAAAAGAATGACATGGGGGAAAGGAGGTGGCCGGAATACCCCCACGATCCGTTTTCTTTTTTCCTTTCCTTCTTTCCAGTATCTTACTTTCCAGAAGTGTAATGTCAAGGTGCAACGATACTGCACGTGGTAAGGCATGCCCACTAAAGGCACGCAGTGAACTGAACTACGACACCACAGTGTACGTTTTTTGGGGGAAAAGAAAACCTCCTCTCTCTGGTGTCTGTGGGAGAGAGTCACCTCCTGTAAGTTATCCCTAGGCGCTCCTGCCCCACGATATCCGCCCGTCCCTGACATCTCCGCTTAGTCTCCGTACCGTCAGTACCGCTCACCGACTCCATCAAGAGCAACGCGCTGCACAGTGTGTACGGAGACCGTAGGTCACGTGTCGGAGCCCCGCCGGAGGCCCCGCCAGCTCAAGGCGAGGTGGGCGCGCGGGCGCGCGCGGGGTCTCAGGCCAAGTCCAGCTTCTTCTGAGTCACCGCCAGCTTGTCCTGCAGCCTCCGCTTCCTCCAGTCCAGGTAGCGCCTCCGCAGCCGGTTCGCCTGCCAGCCCACGAGCACTCCAGACGCGAAGGCCACCAGCACAGACAGCTGCAGCGTCCGCTCGGACACGTTCGCCATGGCAGCCGGTGGCGTGCAGCCTGACCTACGGCGCGGCGGCGGGGTCAAACGGGCGGAGCGCAGGGTGGTGCGTGCGCAGCGCGCCCTGCGGCGCCTTTGCTCAAAACTCACGACTTCTGGCTCTAGATAACCTTCTCTAGTTTGGCCGGCCTGTGGGTGTCCCCTCCTTACCTCCTCGGGCCTTCTACGGTAGTTATTGTTTGGCGTTAGTCAGATAAGTCAGATATTGTCTTGCCTTATTAGCTAACTTTGATGGTGTGTCTTTCCAAACTTATTGTAAGCCCAACACCTCTTTGTATTTTCTCTAAGTGGGGGAATGCGAGCCGCATACGTAACAACTGGTAACGCATTAAAAAAGAAAAAGAAAGAGATGAAAATTATTTTAATAATATGATTTGTTTAGCCCAATATATACAGGATGTTATCATTTCAACCTGTAATCAACATAAAAATTATTAATGAGATATTTTTTGTACTCAGTCTTTGAAATTTGATGTAGATGTTGTAATTAACAGCGCATCTCAATTTGAACGCTAAAGTTTCAGGGGAAATACTTGGTCAGTATCCAGATTTCATAAAAGTTAGTTGAAAAAGATATATATACTCAGGTTGTTCCAAAGACACATAAAAATTTCTCCAATAACTGAGTTGAGTATCAGTTTTTAAATTTAATTAAAAATTTAAAAAAATGTTTATTTATTTTTGAAAGACAGTGAGCACAAGCTGCGGAAGGATAGAGGGAGAGAGGGAGACACAGAATCTGAAGCAGGCCCCAGGCTCTGAGCTTTTAGCACAGAGCCCATAGTGGAGCTCAAACCCATAAACTATGAGATCATGACCTGAGCCGAAGCCAGATGCTTAACTGACTGAACCACCCAGAGGCCCCTAAATTCATTAAATTTTTAAAGAAGTTCAAAGTTGACTTCTTCTGTCACACTAGTCACATGTGTATTGGACAGCGAGTTCTAGAGGGCCCTGCTATGCCAGAACTAGTAGTGGGTCAGAATTGCTGGCATGGTGAAAAAATTCTAATGATAGAAGTCGTTCTGGTGGACAGACCCTAAGGTGACCCCCAATGCCTTTGTGTAATTTCTTCTCAAGTGTGGCACCTGTGACTTGTTTCTACCTAACAGAATAAAGCAAAGGTGCTGGGATGTCACTCCTGGGATTCCTTTATGGTGTATAACACTTCTTTTTAACAGACCGATGACTCTCCTTACCAGTTTGATGATGAATGTGAACATGTTGAAGAAGCTCATATAGCAAAGGACTGCAGGTGGCCTCTAGGAACATCAGGATCCCCCCAGCCCCTAGCTGGCAAAAAGATGGAGCCTTCAGTTGTACAGCCCAAGGAAATTAACCGCCCTGTCAACCTGAATAAGCTTGGAAGCAGGATCTTCCCCGGTTCTACCCCCAAAGTAAGAACACACCCTGGCTGACATCTTGATTGTAGACTTTTCAAGAACCCAACAGAGGACCCATGTGGCTGGGCTCCTAACCCATGGAAAGTTGATATTATAAATGTGTGTTGTTTTAAGTCGCTAGGTTTGGGGTAATTTGTTACACAGCAATAGAAAACTAACGCGGTCAGGAAAGGGAGACCAGCCTGTGGAGCCTGAACTCGTTAGATTGGGGCTGGACTGACCTCACGTCTCTATTGATAACCAGCAAGTGGACTTTCATACCTGAGGCAGAACACATCTTGGCAGAGAGATGTTAAAGACAGTATTGGGTCCAATGTGAACTCACATCTGCCATGCTTAATGTTCATTTATTTGGCAAATATGTATGGAATGCTGCAGGAGGCATTGGGAATGTGGAAGTGGCTACAGCACGACTTCCCTCAGCTTAGTGCAGGGTGAAAGATGGGGAAAAAAATTAAGACACATTATGATGAATTGGAATATTTAGTAAGTATGTAGCTGAGACTTAAAAAAAGAAAACCTTTAGGGGCGCCTGGGTGGCGCAGTCGGTTAAGCGTCCGACTTCAGCCAGGTCACGATCTCGCGGTCCGTGAGTTCGAGCCCCGCGTCGGACTTTGGGCTGATGGCTCAGAGCCTGGAGCCTGTTTCCGATTCTGTGTCTCCCTCTCTCTCTGCCCCTCGCCTGTTCATGCTCTGTCTCTCGATGTCCCCCCCCCCAAAAAATAAATAAAAATAAAAAAAAAATAAACGTTGAAAAAAAGAAAACCTTCAGAAAGACTCTTTCTCTTTATAGTCCATCCAATCTGTCAACCAGTTCTGTTGGTCATATTTTCTTTTTTTTTTTCAACGTTTATTTATTTTTGGGACAGAAAGAGACAGAGCATGAACGGGGGAGGGGCAGAGAGAGAGGGAGACACAGAATCGGAAACAGGCTCCAGGCTCTGAGCCATCAGCCCAGAGCCTGACGCAGGGCTCGAACTCCCGGACCGCGAGATCGTGACTGGCTGAAGTTGGACGCTTAACCAACTGCGCCACCCAGGAGCCCCTGTTGGTCATATTTTCAAAATATGGTCAGAATTCAACCACTTCTCACCACGTCTCCCTTCACTGCTACCATTTGTTTCAAGCTGACGTCATCTCCTACCTAAGTTGCTGCAATAGCTCTCATCAGGTTTCTGTGCTTCTGTTGCTTTCCACCACATTCTATTCTCAGTGAAACAGCCAGAGCGAACCTTGGAGATCAGAAGTCGGATCATCTCCCTCTTCTGCTCAAACTGTGCAGTGGCCAAAGCCCTGGCAGTGGTCCCCAGAGCTCTCTGCATGATCAGTTCCTACCCATCCCTTCCCCATCACCCGTGTGCTCATTGTTTCTCGTGCTCGCCCCGGCATACTCCTACCTAAGAATATTTGCATGGGCAGTCCCCCTGCCTGACACGCTCTTCTCCCAGATGCCTGCATAACTAACTTCCTCACCCCTTTTAGGTTCTTGTCAACTGCCACCTTCTCAACAAGGCCTACGTGACTATTTAAAAATCACAATCCAAATCCCCCCCACCGCCCCGGCCCTCCCAATCTCCTTTTCCCCACTCTGTTCTCCACCTCCACAGTATTTATAGCCTTCCACCTACTGTAGGATTTATAGTATCCATTTGTATTTATTATACTTATTGTTTATTGCCTGTCTCCAGCTACAGTGTAAGCTATTCAAGGGGAAGGATTTTTGTCTCAGTTGTATACTGGTGGATCTCAAGTGCCTGCAGTAGGGGCTGGCACCTAACAGTCAGTAAATATTTGGAGTGGATGACAGCAGGGAGTGGTCAGGGGAGTCTTATGGGTGTGTGGCTGAACTGAATCTTGAAAGATGAGTAGGAAAATCAGGAGAAATGAGATTTCTCTGGATCGCAGTTTTCTCGTTGTAAAATAGTTTGGTGTGATTCAGTAGCTCTAAGATATTTTTAAACCAAGTTTTGGCAGCCTGAAGTTGTGTATTTGGGCCACTGGTATTATTGCAAATTTGAACCTCGCTTGGAATTCTTACCTCATCCCTAAGTGGCCTGTGGGCTAAAAATAAACCAGATCATGTGCACATGTATGCTGCAGCAGCCCTTGAATATGGGAAAACCTTAGGTGGATAGAGCTGGGAGAGACCATAGAAATGCCCTTAATTTTGCAGGAGGAAACTCTGGCCAGATGGGAGAATAGAACTGCTGGGAAGAAGGCAGGGGTGTAAGGCTTTAAATCCCTCTTAAAGAGTCAGTGTGTCCCTGGCTTGAGACTGTATTTTTCCCCCAGGGTGCATTATTTCAATGGGGCATTTTTGTAGACTTGATTATGGTCAGCCAGCTTTGAGGTGATGATTACATTTGGATTCACAGGTGGAATAGTCAAGTGTAATGAGTTAATTGATTACATGACTTTTTTTTTTAAGTTTGTTTATTATTTGTTTGTTTGTTTGTTTAAGAGCGGACACAAGCAGAGGAGTGGGGAAGAATCTGAGGCAGGCTCCACACTGTCAGCACAGAGTCTGATGCAAGGTTCGATCTCACAACTGTGAGATCATGACCTGAGCTGAAATCAAGAGTCAGACGTGTAACCGACTGAACCACCCAGGTACCCCTGTGTGAGTGTCTTTTGAGTGATAACTGCCATTGTTGAGTTTGCTGTTTGAAGTGCTTGGCAAGGGAAAAGATTTTGTCATTTACAGTATTAGACCTTTGTTGCTTATAAATTTATTTAAAGTATATAAATGGAATTGATTTCCTCTGCAACTCTAGGACCCAATGCAACAAAGCGGTCATTTTATACCCTAAAGCCTCCATAAAGGGTGGAACTTTGCCATGATTAACATGGCGCATTCATATCAGTAGGCCCTTGAGTTCTGGGCCTGTAGAACTCAGGCTGGGCCTGTTCCCCTGAGCCACAAACACACAGCCCTCTGTGTCAGTTTAAACTTTTTTTTTTAATTAAAAAAAATTTTTTTATTATTTATTTTTGAGACAGAGGGTGGGTGGGGGAAGGGGCAGAGAGAAAGGGGGACACAGAATCTGAAGCAGGCTCCAGGCCCTGAGATGTCAGCACAGAGCCCGATGTGGGGCTCGAACTCACAAACCGCGAGATCATGACCTGAGCTGAAGTCAGATGCTTAACCCACTAAGCCACCCGTGCGTCCCAACCCCGTGTGTCAGTTTTAACTGCCGGATCCTTTGTGTCCCATTCTCTTCCCTTGAGTTTTGGGAAGTGGGAAGAAAAATTCTTCCTGCCTCCACCAGTATACATTCTAAGAGCCTGGGACTTAGGGGAGGTAGGCATGCAAAGTAAATACACCTGATTGTGTGATTGTCAAGTGTGAACCATTTCCTCCCTGGTGCGTAAGCAAGAATGAAAGCGATGCCGTGGCAAAGGCTGAGCCTTGATCCTTGTCTTTGGCGGGAGCTATAATGCGCTTCTTCAAGTCTGCCTCGGTGGTTTCTAATTCTGGAGACGTGCACAGTAGAATGGTCTCCCACAATCCTTTCAGAAAGAACAGGAAAAACCTTCTGTATTCTTCTTCTGTAAAGAAGACACCAGCCTATCTCCTCATAATTCTGAGGTAAAATGGTCATCTATAATTCACTCATTATTCCACTAAGTATTTGCTCAGTGCATACCATATGCCAGATATTTATTGCTACATATTCCATGCTACATATTCCATTCCAATGTCAAGGACCTACTGTCTAGGAGGAAGAATGACAACAATCAAATCTTCACACAAATAAATATAGCCTTACAAACACTGACGAGTGCTTAGATGAAAAAGTACTGTGCACCATGCTTGCGGGAACACATTAGAGCCTAACTGGGTTTGGGAGGATGGGAGTTGACAAGAAAGGTTTCCTATGGGCTTTGCAGTTAGGACCTGACGTGAGACACACAAGTAGGAATGGGAGGGAGAGTTCTTCTCTTGACCAGGAGGATGCACTCGTGAATGTTTGAGGCTGCAAAAAGCTGACTCAGTGGGAACTGGAGGGGCAGGAGCGGAAGAGAGGTAGGAAAAGTAGATAGGACTTGCAGGCCATGTCAAGGGCTTTGGACTTTATTCAGAGGGAAGTAGGCCACCATTTTTGTGAGCAGGGGATTTACAGGGCTCTGTTTGCATATTAATAAAAGTAATCTGATTTCTCTTAGAGAATGGATTGGAAAGTGCCATGGATGGACGTAGGGAAACTGGTTAGGAAACTATTCCAGTAGTGTAGACAAGAGACAGTGGCAGTATAGTGTATAGGAGTGGATGTTAGGCATACTTGAGGTTGACACTTTTTTCTTGCAGTACTTTAGAGATGTTCCATTGTCGGTACTGTAATAGCATTGTATGGGGACCATTGGTAGCCATACTTGTGGGGAGCACAGCATAACAAATACATTAGTCAACTCACTATGTTGTACACCTGAAGCTAATGTAACATTGCGTGTCAACTTCATTAAAAAAAAAAAAGAAAAGAAAAACAAAATGAATGGGGCACCTGGGTGGGTGACTCAGTCGGTTGAGCCTCAGACTCTTGATTTCGGCTCAGGTCATGATCTCACAGTCGTGAGATCAAGCCTTACATTGGGCTCTGTGCTGAGCGTGGAGCCTGCTTAAATTCTCTCTCACCCTCTCCCTTTGCCCGGTCCTGCTTGCACACACGTGCACTCACTCACTCAAAAAAAAAAAAAAAAAAAAAAAGAAAAGAAAAGAAAAAAAGATGTTCCATTGCCTTCTGGCTTGCTTAATTTTGGAAACAAAGTCTTTATCTGTATATAATGAGTCTTTTTCCCCCTCTGGCTGCTTTTAAGACTATCAAGAAATTTTAGCAATTCAGTTATGATGTATTTTGTATAGTTTTAAAAAGTTTATTCTGTTTGGAATGTGTTGAGTCTCTTGAATCTGTGAGATTAATAGTTTTCACCAAATTTAGAAAACTTTTGGCCATTTTTTCTTCAAATAGTCTTATGCCTCCTTTTTTTCTTGGGACACACAGAGTTCAGAGATTGGTGGATTTTCAAGAGCAGTAATGTTTAAGGATTTTTTTTTAACTTTTAACTGTGAAAGCAAGTGATTCATTGATGACTGGCTAACTTGCAGATGTTTTTCCATTGAAAGGAGGCTCTTGCCAATTGGCTGTTTTTTCAGAAGTGTAACTGCTGGGATGAAGTTGTTATGGGTTGATCAGGATGAATTTAAAGCCGGTTATAGTAGTTATTCATTGTTGTGGTCAGATAATTTTTTTGTAGGAGGATAGAAATTTTTTTCCCTCAGTCTCTCTTTTTAATCTTCCATCCAGTAGAATTGCAGGAAATACCCTAGGAATTAGGCAGAGTTCTACCAGTGTTATTGATTCTTCTTGAAGATGAGGTTTCATTTCCAGAAGTCTGATGATCAGTTGAGTATCAATCAACATGTTTTCATCTCGTTTTGTCTTTGATTGATGTGCATTTGCGATTCTGGACAACAGACATTGAACAACTATGAGACAAACAAGAATAATTAAGAATATTATGAGATGGGACTGGAAAGCACATAGAAACCATGACCCAGTATTTCTCAGGCCTAAAGACAAATCCAACAACTTCCTGAGTCTACCTTGAGTAGTCAGGTTGCCTTTTTCCTTAAGTTAGGTGATGGATTGTTCCATCCCACCTCTGGAACAAAATCTAGGTAAAGATGGAGTATTAGTAATAGTGCGAACTCCAAGGTTATTCTATTATCCATAACTAACTACTTGAGCTCTAAGGGCTGGACTCATTAATTGTGTCAGCCAAAGTGAGGTTCTAATTGTTGATGGTCACCTCAAGTTGGCCAAATTTTATAGGCAGGATCACAATCCCTAGGAGGCTATTTACAAAATACTATTTATACCTCCAGGAAAAATAATAAATTGCTGCTTTAGAGTGTTACAACAAAGAATAGCATTTGAGGAGGAAAAGGTAACAGTATTTCATAATTAGTTAATTAAATAGCAGAAAAATAATAGATGATCTCATTTAGAAGTAAGCACTGTCCTGCATGTGGTACCATCAGATTTTACTGTTCCAGTATAAGATCTGGAGATGTGTCTATTGGGTTAGTTAAGGCTGAATTTGCTCTGAGACAAATAGGATATGCCTTAACTACTGGGTCAAAAGACAGGTTAATAATAGGCCATGGATCTTTGATATGCGTTGTGTGTTAACAGCTTTAGATGTCAGCTCACCTTTCCTTTCATGTATATATGAAAAGAAAGCTTTATGGTAATCTGGGAGATGCAGTTCAGGTGATTGTAGATGAAAGTTGCGAGACCACAGCAAGTCTTTTCCATCTCTGCTTTTTCCATTCCATGAAGGAGATTCCAAAGGGTTTGATTTAGGCAAATGGTATCAAGTCCTTGCTATTTCAGAAAAGTTTGGTACGCATTGCACACGATACCCAGTTAGTCTCAGAAATCCTTCTTACTGTCTTCTGGTGGTTGGTTGTGGGTAATTTTGATGAATTTGCAATCTTTTCTTAGATACTGTCCTTCCGTCAGCTGATATGTCTTGGCATGTCAGTGGGCAGATACTTAAAGTGAGTCTTAGAGTCATCACATCAGGGGATCTCAAAAGAGCTCATTTACATATAGGGTCAGAGCGATCACCTAGGGAATAGCATCTCCTTTGAGTCTTGGTTTAACTGTGATGAGGCATCAGTGAATTCCTGGGTCCAAGCGGATTATTAATTTTCCTGGGTGAAAGCAAATAATGTTGACTATTTTACTCCCTTGAGACACTGAACAAAGACAAGTACAAATCTATTACAGTGAGGAGAGGATGGTGTTTAGGTTAGGCATTATTAGGAAGTAAGGTATAACTATTTTTCTAATTGCACGCAGATCTCAAACAAATCTATATTCTCGACCACTAGGTATTTTAACAGTGAAGTAGATGTGTTACATGAACTGGTACAAGGCAGAATTAGTTGGTTACTGTAATGCCCACCAGCGGCTGGTCTTAGGTTTCACGAGGCAATCCTATTCAGTACCTGGAATAGCCCATGCGTGGCGCTGGGTTCACTGAGACTGATAGAGGTCCGGACCTGGCAGTCAGGTGTGTTTCTTCAGCAGTAGTCTCGCAGCTGTGCACAGAGCAGTCGTAGTGGAAGATTAAATGTGAGAGAATGAGATCACAAAGGTGGGTGTCAGAGCCAAGCTCACGTTCCAACTAGGAGCATGTATCCTGCACGTGGTTCTGTAGGCGGAGCCTCCAGGGCCACAAGTCCCGGTCACATGTCAGGACACTCAGGGAAGCCCAGAGCCACCACCCCCTGCCAGGCACTTACACAGCATTCATGGTCCTTGTAATCCAGAGGCACTTTACCAATCTGGGCTCATTTTTACCACAAAGAGTGTAGACGCTCCAGCTCGGTGAGGTTTCTAGAAAGTTAACCCAAGGTCAGTTTTGACTATACAGAGGATTTTTGTTAACCTTTTGCTCACAGGTACAGTTGGCATAAGATCTTTCTCTGCTTCAACTTT